AGGCTGCTGGTTCGAGTCCCTACTGCTCCACTTCCAATCCAGTTCTGTGTTATGGCCTGGGAAAGCAGTAGAAGATGGCCCAATGTGGGAGACCCAGAAGAAGCTCCTGGCTCCTGGTTTCGGATCGGCGCAGCTCTGGCTGCTGCGGCCAATTGGGAAGTGAACAGCGGATGAAGACCTCCCTCTCTTTCTCTCTGCCTCTCCTTCTCTCTCTCTCTGTAACTCAAATAAATAAATATTTTTTAAAAAAAGTGATTTAGAGCTGGGTATTTTGATGAATTAGTGAAAATAAAATCTCCATTACCATTAATACTGAAGATATAAAGAAGGATTGCTCTTATTTTATCACAATTATCATGATTTTTGTTGAGTAGAACTGGAAGGAGTACACGCATGGAATCTTTCACCTTCTGTCCTTCTGCATCAGTTCCAAGTGCCAGGTCCTTAATGAAAATGAAATAGTCAGTGGTTAGTGATTTATAATTCAAATTCAGTTTAGTTAAAAATACCTATTATTAATTAAGTCTTGTCAAGTTTTAATAAACACTGATAATATTTCACAGGAAAATGTAAACATCACTTATAAACTATTGGTTGTACAAAATGCAAAAGGTGACAAAATGAGTTGGGGCAGGCATTTAGCCTAGAAGTTAAGATGCCTATGTCCCATTCTGAGTACCCAGGTTTAATATGTGGCTCTAGCTCCTGATTCCAGCTTCCTTCTAATGCAGACCCTGGGAGGCAGTGCTGATGGCTCAAGTAATTAGGAAGTGAACCAGGGGATGAAGTTCTCTCTCTCTGTCTCTCAATTAAGGGGGAAAAAAAGGAAGAAAATCATTAATCTAAACCTGCTATCCAGTATGGTAGCCACTAGCCACAGGTGCATACTACACACTTGAAATATGGTCAACTTGAATTAAAATGTGCTGAAGGAGCAAAATACTAAATTTTAAAGATTTGGTATAAAAAAAGAATGTAAAATATCTCAATTTTTTTAAAGATTTATTAATTTGAAAGAGTTATACACAAAAAGAAAGAGAGGCAGAGAGGCAGAGAGGCAGAGAGGGAGAGAGGGAGAGAGGGAGAGAAGGAGAGAGGGAGAGGGAGAGGGAGAGTTTTTCCATCTGCTGGTTCACTCCCCAGATGGCTGCAATGGCCGGAGCAGCGCCAATCCCAAGCCAGGAGCCAGGAGCTTCTTCCAGGTCTCCCACACGGGTGCAGGGGCCCAAAGACCTGGACCATCTTCTACTGCTTTCCCAGGCCAGAGCAGAGAGCTGGATAAGAAGTGGAGCAACCGGGACTTGAACTGGCACCCATAGGGGATGCCAGCACTGCAGGCGGCAGCCTCACCCACTACGCCACAGCACTGGCCCCCTCAATACTTTCTATGTTGATTATACATTGAAATGTAGTTACAAAAACTTAAATCACTCCATCCAAACAAAAATGCTTCAACACAAATTAGGAAGGACTGATTCTAAGGGAACATTTAGTGTTGCTGGGCAGTGATGTTTTAAGACTGCCTTGGTAGGTCCCCTTCAAAGAGTCTTTTATTCTGTGAAAAGCAACCACTGCACTTAGCAAAATCTAGGTGTTTTTTCTTTTGTTTAATTTTGACAGGCAGAGTGGACAGTGAGAGAGAGAGACAGAGAGAGAAAGGTCTTCCTTTGCCGTTGGTTCACCCTCCAATGGCCGCCGCTGCAGCCGGCGCACCGCGCTGATCCGATGGCAGGAGCCAGGAGCCAGGTGCTTTTCCTGGTCTCCCATGGGGTGCAGGGCCCAAGCACCTGGGCCATCCTCCACTGCACTCCCTGGCCATAGCAGAGAGCTGGCCTGGAAGAGGGGCAACCGGGACAGAATCCGGCGCCCCGACTGGGACTAGAACCCGGTGTGCCGGCGCCGCAAGGTGGAGGATTAGCCTATTGAGCCACGGCGCCGGCCAAAATCTAGGTTTTAAATTACAAAATTCATTCTGGAAATCTATAAAGGAAATGGATAGTTCTGACTCTGCACATACCTGCTCAGTTTTGCAGAGCTTTTCTATGTTAAGCTTGAACTTATTCATGCAATCTTCTGCTAGGTTAAGATGGACAACTTGCTGAAAAACAGAAAAAATCAATCAACAACTGAAACATTTTAATTACTTGTACAATTTGTAATATTACACTTCTGACATTGGCCTAAGGGAAAAGGTGGGCTTAGGTGAAAGAAGATAACACGAGCAAGGGAGAGAACAGCTCAGGAAGGGAAGTAAGAAGTGATGTGAGATGGCATCCAACAGACAGTTAAAAGAATGGAGATGCTGAATTTGTGTTACGCTTGTAAATAATGTAATCTAAGGTAAGGAAAATATAGTATGTCCTACAGAAAGAGTTTAAATTTACATTATTAGTTCTTGGCTAGGGTACAGCACGATATACATGAGTAAAGAATGGGAGTAGGCATTTGGTGCGGATTAAGACAGGCTTGGGATGCCTGCATCCCATACTGGACTTCCCAGGTTTGAGTTCCGACTCCATCTCTGATTCCAGCTGCCTGCCAATGCATACCTGGGGAGACAGCAGGTGATGGCTCAAGCAGCTGGGTCCCTGCCTCCTACATGGCAGACCTGGAATGAGATCTGGCCTCCTGGCTTATCTGACCTTGCTTTGGCTGTTACAGGCATCTGGGGAGAGATCTAGCAGATGGAAAAATCTCTGCCTGCCTGCCTCTGTCTCTCTTTTTGTCTCTCTGCTTTTTAAATAAATGTAAATTGTAAAAAATGCATCAGGATTATTTTAACGGTAATTCATAAAAAGAACTGGAACAGCAAAAAAAATAATAATTTACCTTGCTACACAGCTTAAATGCCTTTAAATCTAATATATAACTATTAATTTAAAGAAAGATGTAGAATTACAACCACTGGTCAGTCTAGGCTTGAATTTTATTATGAGGTGAATAAATACTAAATTTATTTGTTTTGAAAAGATATAAAAAGTTTAAGCTGGATTCTGATAAATCTAGATAACATAGGCAGAGGTTGGTGTTGTGGTGCAGTGGGTTAAGCCGTTGCCTGTAATGCTGGCATCCCATACTGGAGCTTTGGTTTGAGTCCCTGCTACTTTGCTTTTGACCCAGCTCCCTGCCGATGTCCCTGGGAAAGCAGTGGAAGATGGCACAAGTACTTGGGCCCCTGTCACCCACACGGAAGATCAGATATGGCTCCAGGCTTCTGGCTTTGGCCTGGCACAGTGCTACCTGTTGTGGACATTTGAGAAGTAAACCAGGGGATGGGCAATCTCTTTATCTCTCTTCACTGTGCCTTTCAAAAATAAATCTTTTTTTAAAAGATGATTATGTAAAGAACTTACATTGGGAATCTCATTCAGGATATCTGTGAAACCTAGAGTAAGGTTTTAGAGCATAACTAACACTAAGTGTTCCATAAAACCCACTGCTAAATATAACTACTAGACTGGATAAACCAATAAATTAAAATCAATAAGGCGTCTCTACAATAGTGCTTACCTTAGTAATCTGTTTACGGAAATGGGGCATCTTTTTCATCAGTTGGGTAAGAGCACTTAGTGATGTCTAGGAAAAATCAAATATATTTTAAGTTTGATTCCATTACTCTATTTTACAACTTTCAAATCCTAGAATTTTAACTATTACCAAATCTAGTTAAATTTACTCAAGTGATAAAATAGTGAAAAAAAGCAGACCCAAGAAAAGAATTTCAAAATAACATAGGAAGGCTCTTCAAAAACTTGATGGAGGGGCCAGTGTTGTAGCATACTGAGTAGGGAAGGCTGCACCTGTGAAGCTGGTATCTCTTGTGTCCCGACTGGTCCACTTCCAATCCAGCATTCCTACTAACAGCCTGGGAATTGCAGTGAAAGATGGCTCAAGTGCTTAGGCCCCTGTACCCATGTAGGAGACCCGGATGAAGCTCTTGGCTCCTGGCTTTGGCCTGGCTCAGCACTGACCATTGCAGACATCTGGGGTGTGAACCAGTGGATGGAAGATCTCTTCTGTCTCTCCCTCTCCCTCTGTAACTCTGCCTTTCAAATAAATAAATCTTTAAATAAAAAAAATTTCATGGAAAAATAATTAAAGGGTAAGTAACTTTCATGCAAATAAATTTTGAAATGCATGCATTTTTTTTCATTGTACCAACTTTCATTGAACTTTCTGAAGATCCCCAGCATTTACATTAAAGAAAACAGAGAAAATGATGAACTACAATGGATCAAAAAATGGAAGACTAGCAGAGAATTAGGATTTACTTTTTAAAATCTAAATATCAGGGCTTCCAAGATGGTGGAGTAGGGAGGGAGCTTACTGCTCTAGTCTAAAAGATACTTTAAAAAAAGTGGAGTACAGTCTCAGGGAAAAGCTGGGAGAAATCGGCAGAGGAAACCCTACACAAATTAGAGGCACACGGTGGACCTATGTGGAGGGTGTAGATGCCCACAAGTAAGGACCCCGGCAGCCAAGAGCCTCCTCACCAGTACTGGAAAGTGAGGTGAGACCAGACCACAGCAGCCCGACACACTGGCACTAAAGCTCCAGGAAGAGCCTAGCGGGAACCCGGCCTGGAGCCCCATCGGGGATAGTGTATCTGCCAAACTAGAGGAGAAAAAAAAAGGAGGGACACATTTCTCTCTCCCTGATAACTTTACAATGATGTCCTGTAACAAGCTGATAGAGCGGGTGCCATTTTGGACATACATAATAGCTGTGCCAGCTTGTGTCAGTGCCCAGAAACCAGCAAAATGGAGATGCATGACTCTGGTGGAGAGACTAACAGGGGCCTGGGAGCTCGTGACTGTGGGAGGCTTGTGTGCAGGGGCTGTGAAAAAAAACTGAGGCTGTGTGGGAGGACTAACGATGTGGCTGGGACTTTGGGCAGTCATTTGAGAGGCTCCACACACTCCCTGGTTACCAGGTGAGGGACATTGCTGGGGAATCTGAGCTTACACTGAGGACTGCACAGATCCTTTGTGTGGTCCTTGTGGCAGAGTGGATGTTATCTTATTTAAAAATGTTTTTTTAATTTGGAGATTTTTAACAAGTTATTTAAAAATGTAAATCAAGGAAGGTTAAGAATGAAAGAATGTTCTTGGTAAGGAAGGTTAAGAAGGAAAGAGTTTTTTGAATAAAGGACATGGTTTGTAAGAATTACTTTATCCTGATGGCTAGTTTACTCTATACTGGAATGGAAATGATAAAACATTTCAAGTAAGTGGAATAGGGTGTGTGGAAGTCACAGAAGGTTATAAAAGAAATTTTTGGATACAAAAGCTATTATTAATCTATTTCTCTTTGACATGGAATTAGAATCTGATCCTCTGTTAAAGCAATGAGTCAAAGTAATCTATTTTGTTCTCTTAATGTCTCTGTTAGGTTCTAATTGTTTAAAAGCAGCTGAGTTTTTTAAGAGTTATGATTTGTTTGAACCTGCTTATTCTAAAACATTTGAGTAATCACCTTGTAACGATGATCAGATCTGGTCTATATTATGTCATGATGTTTAGGGATCTTATTTCAACCAGGTATTTTAAGCCTTCTTGGCATCCTCAACAGGCATTCCAAAAAGAAAAAAAGTCAAAATTCCGAATTATTTGGACTTTGATATATCCAGTTGGGCCCCTGGAAATATCTAAGGATATATGTCTCTCATCTTGTAGAGATACCAACTAATCAGGCTATTTGGATTATATCATAAGTACTGTCAAGATGTGAAGTGGTGCTAAATTTTAAGTTTTGATAATATAAAATGCTACTGATACAAATGTCTGAAAGTTAAAAAAAATCTAATGATCTTGTGATGGCTATCGTAATGAGAAAGGCCCAGAGGCCTAAAAGGGTTAAATGTTCTGTAAAATCCTATAAGTGCTTTCGAAAATACTGTGTGAAGTAAACAAGTGCTTGTTGGTTAATGAATTTATAATTTTAAACATGTCTATTTAAAGTCTTTTGTCATCCACAGTTCTGTATAGGTTCCAATGGACTTTTTCCAGCCACTTCGATTGTATTTAGTACTTTGGGATGAATCTGTAAACAGATGAAGCCAATAATGTACTACAGTTTCCAACTGAGAGAAAGTATGGTTAATTCAGGTTACTAAGAGCAGAAAGTAATTTGAATTAATTGGTAATTTTAAAAAACAGTTAAAGATTTTAAGAAGCTATTACCGGTCAGTGCCGTGGCTCACTAGGGCTAATCCTCCGCCTGTGGCGCTGGCACCCCGGGTTCTAGTCCCGGTCGGGGCGCCAGATTCTGTCCCGGTTGCCCCTCTTCCAGGCCAGCTCTCTGCTGTGGCCCGGGAGTGCAGTGGAGGATGGCCCAGATCCTTGGGCTCTGCACTCGAATGGGAGACCAGGAAGAAGCATCTGGCTCCTGGCTTCGGATTGGCGCAGCGCTGTAGCAGCCACTTGGGGGGTGAACCAATGGAAAAAGGAAGACCTTTCTCTCTGTCTCTCTCTCTCTCACTGTCTAACTCTGTCAAAAAATAAATAAATAAATAAATAAAAAAACAAGCTATTACTGAAATTGTTTTATTATTCTATCTTCTATGTTATGTTATACATGTATACAAATTATATGTCTACATGGAAAAATTTATTAAGAACTCTGCTTTAATTGGCTTATAGATAAAAGATTGCTCATAAATTTAAATGGCTAAATTAATCAGATACATTTTGACTTATGTGACCTGAATCTCTGTATCAGACGTTTTAAATCTGTTGGTAGAAAGAAATGAAAAACGTTTTTATATGTTTGTGCTTGAGTTTGCTGGTTAAACAAGCTACACATGTTAGATATTTAAGAGATGTTCCCAAATACATGTATTCTTAAAATTTATAGAAGGCATTAGACCTTCTGGTAAATGTTTTCCTAAGTTGTTATTTAATAGTTGAAATTGCTTGCCAAGTTTTCATTTGATATTGCTATTGTCAGTAAGTGATATGGAAGTGGCTTCCTCATTTCTCTATTCTAAGCCGGACTTCTTCTCTCATTTCTCTATTCTCTTCAAGGTAGGAAACTAATTCTATTCTGAAGGACTCTCTAGGATGTACAATTTGACCTCTGGACCTTATAAAAGGGATGACTAACATTTTCTGTAATAGCATAGCCAAAGTGAGAGCTTAAATTATAATTTCACAGCTAGATTTACTTCACCATGGGCACAGTAAACAGGCAAAACCTCCCTTTCGGACCAAAGGGAGAGAAAGTTTTAAAGTGAAGACATAGTTTTACTCAAGGGCATTGTCTACCTTAGGAAAAACCACTATCAGAACAGGCCTGTGACTACAGACTTCAAGTTGAGGCCCCTGAAGATTAGAGATGGGACTGGAGCGCCTCCTTGACCTGCATCCTCTGGTCTGCTTTAACAAAAACCAGGAGAAAAGAAAGCCAGGCATCAGAAGCCATGTAAAGATAGGTGGCAGGCCTATTAAAGCAGGCTCTGTGATCTGCCCTCAAAGAGACCCAATAGGCCAGTCCACTGCAGTGGCTTTCAATGTGAAAAGCCAGGTCTTCAGCAGAAGTTAGCTTATGAAGAGCCCTGACAGCTCTGCTAGCCAAGAGTTGGGTCACCAGAAATGGAACTGCCCTGCAGTCAAAGGATGCCCAGGTTAGAGCCACAGATCTTGCTGGCTCTAAGCTGAAAAGCCCTTCACTTGGCCCAGCTTCCAAAGTAACCACCGCTGCTGAGGAGATGACCAAGTAGGGTCAGCAACACTGAAGGCAGAACTGCAAATTTCCTGTAAGAGATGCCACCTGCCTTTACCTGGCCAACTCACCTCCCAGGCCAGCAAGGTAATGAAAGTCAGCAGGGTGCCTACCCCAAGGAGGTTCACACTTCCCTTAAGATGTACCCCATGTGAAGAGATAAGTCTGGGCCTCGCCTCGTAACTGACAAGGCCTTAAAGCGCAACTGATTATCATCAGGCTCCTTCTTCCATTTCTATTGGCCTCTCAATCAGAAAACTTAGTCATAGGTTAGACAGCAGTTCTCTTAGGTTCTCTAATAATGATGCTGTCTTTTGTTCTAGACCCTATCTAGTCCATCTGAGGCCTCATTTCTTTGTAATCATAGCCTCTACTCTTACATAATGGCTCTACTCCCAACTTGTATGTATTGATGGTCCTTCTCCCCCACTTAATGTTGTATGAGTGTTCAGAATTTCTCTACAGACAAACCCCCTACCTGAAAAAGATGAGTGGCTTTTCTCCTGGTCTTGGTTGGGATCAGCTTTAAACCATGTCCATCAAACAGTCTTTACAAGGGTCCAGAGACACCCCCCATCATTTCCTCTCTATGAAATCCTCTCATTATTTGGTTAATGCCACTACCAGAACCATTGGTTGCTATTCTCACCCTGTCTTTATACTACCATGTCTGTTTAAGTGTTTACAGCAGGTGATAATGGAATGAACCAAGGCCTTCACCAACCAGGTGGTCAACCAAATGATGCTACAGGGTTACACTCGGCTCCCCCACCCCCAGGATACACAGCCTTGAGACATCACCACATAACAGCAGAGAGTATCCCGTTGCCCTATATCAGCAGGAAGTAGCTCTA